ATGTGTAGTGATGGTAGGATTCTCTCCATGATCACAGTTTACAAAGAGATCGTGATGACGCCGAGACGCGCGAGCTTTTCTCCACTTCAAACAACAGTCAGAGTTATGTAGTGGGCCATTTCTCATCTACATTTTGTTCGGAGCTGGTGAATCAACTATGTAACTCAAGATTGGCCAAGCCGGAATTAAATTTGATCCGATATCATTAAGCTATTTTTCAATTATTGTAACCTTAAGCGTCGATTGCACTCTACTGTCGATTAGTTTGTTTCACGCTGTGCATCTGACCTGACCATTACATCTCCATCGCTCCACAGAGTCGGGTGCATCCATTCGTTCTATACTTGACAAGGTGCGCCATCGACCAGATGGCGATTGGGCCCAACTGTCGTGGTCCGCCGTGCGTCGGATTTTGGAAGATTTGGAAGCCAATAGCAGAATATACCAAGTTGGTCAATATCATTACAGAATTGCCTGATGCTATTGTCCAATAATTCAAATTCCTAATTATATTCCGGGATATTTGATGTACCCATACACTTTTGTACAGTATCATTCTTGTGCCTTTTTTACGTTAACCGCTAAAAGTTAGATGGGGTCTACCGAAGGCACTGTACTTTTCTTCCGTTCTTTTGATAAGTTTTACAGTTAGGATTTCGAGCCCTACTTTGGTTGAAGATTCAGGTCTTCTAAGTTTGGAACCACTAATCTGATACTGATTACACGAAGTTCAGTTACACTCAGCGCATCCGCCATCGCGCAGTTTCAGGAAGTTCGTACTTTTGCACATCCTGTCCATCTAAAATCACGTAGTCCCCAGCGTGAGTGTGAGCAGCTGCGGTGCTACGCAATAGTCTTCAGCAGCTACTCTGTCTTCCTGGCTGCGTTCAGAATGCAAGCTGATACAGAAACCTAATGAACTCAGCGGAGGCAGAAAAGGCGGATAACTTCCGTGGGCATTTTTAACTTAACAGCGCCATTTGACCCAGAAAACCCCCTCTGAGCCAGTCAGGGATAGTATCGTCTGCCTCGTAGAGTGAGTGTCCAAAATCTATCAACTTTCGCGCTGCTAAAGCGGGTTGTTTCCTAATGCTCCTACTTGGTTGCAATGGTCATGTGAGTTGGTTGGTTTGTTTGACTAGTCTAAGTCAAGGCTTTGATGGGGTACTTGGAGAACAACAAAATTCTTGTTCCGGAGCAGCACGGATTTCGCCAAAATCGGTCCTGTACCACTAATCTGTTGATTGCTCGTGCAAGCTGGACGGAATCTGTGGATGTTGGTGTAGGAGTCGACGCAGCCTACTTGGATTTCTCAAAGGCATTCGACCGTATAGACCATTGCATTCTCCTCCACAAACTCCATAAATATGGAATCCGTGATCCTGTTCTTGGCTGGATGGGAGACTTTCTCGTGCAACGTCACTTGAATGTGAGCGTAAGAAGCAACCTGTCGGAATCCATCGAAGTTCAGTGCGGCGTATCTCAAGACTCGGTGCTTGGACCCCGCCTGTTCCCGGTTTTCATAAATGATCTCGCGAGCGTGCTATCTTCTAACTGTTTGCTATTTGCTGATGATCTAAAAGTATGGCGTACTATAGCTGCAGTGGGGGATCACACAGTGTTACAGGAAGACCTGGACAAAGCGTATAATGTTCCATCGAGAACATGCTGCATTTAAACGTTCCCAAGTGCAAAGTTCTCAGCATACGGCACAAGAGTATGTACAAGTACCGCCTAGGACCACAAATTCTACAGCAGGCTTATCACGAGTGCGATCTCGGCGTGATAGTTCAAGATGACCTCGGTTGTTTGAGGCCGACTGAAAAGGCAGCTAAGAAAGCAAACCAGTACCTCGGCCTTCTTCGTAGAGCCTTCGGAAAGTTTGACCCTTCAGTCTTTCCAAATATGCTTAGTGCGTACGTGAGGCCGCACGCGGTATACGCTATTCAAGCGTGGCAACCCTGGCTCAAGCATATCTCACCGCGCTCGATACTGCACATAGTAGGGCAACGAAGAGCGTTAGAGGTTTGACCAGCCTCCCCTACCCACTCAGGCTGAAGACCCTCAAAATATACAGTGAACGTTATCGGCGTCATAATGGTGTATCTGATCCTAAGAAACCCCAACCACCCATGCCATTTTCTTCTAATAGTCAAAACACCCCGCTAAGAGGTCACCAGTTTAAGTTGATAACGCAGTACAGCCGCCTGGAATGTCGGCAAAACTATTTCTGCCTTCGAGTGGCACAGCCTTGGAACGCCCTCCCGGAACATGTAATTAATGCACCCACCCTAACCCTTTTCAAAAAACGCCTTGACGATACTCTGTCACATTTACACCACGTGCTATAGCCCATGACCACCAGATGCTGGCACTAATGCACAACAGACAGTGGATAGTGCCATAATCCTACTCGAGAATGAGTCACTCCAAACCCCTTACACGAAATTTGATAAACGCTACTACTGTAGAAACTGGATTTCTGTATCCTGTCGACCCAAGATAGTTGCACACGTGTAAGCGTTGTCCTTGCTATCTTTTTTTTACTTTTTTCTCGCCTATTATGTGGTCAATAACCACTCCCCTTATTGCCTTGTGTGCTTACATTCTCATTTCAAACTCCCTTTATACGGTAGTGCAGTTAAATCTGTAATCGCCCGAACTGACGACTCCGTTATCCCTTGTTCTATCTTTTTTCATTCTAAACACCCTACGGGACATGTCAAACCCCTGCCTTTATACCCGTTATAAATCATTGTTCAAGTAATTTGAGCTGGTCATAAAAAAGTATCAGGAGTACATTGTACCGATGCTTCGCTGTCACGAGACCACCAACAGTCGCGCGAGGAAGGGATACTTCAAGGTAACCTTCGGGTTACCAGACAAACGTTTTATGCTTTCGGCCGCCGGCCGGTTATTATACAACAGTATGCAAGAAGGACATCCGCACCATTTCTGCAAATCATTGAGAGGTCAAACTGATGCCGACAGTGACATGTATCCTACCATTTTAACCTGTTTTTTATCCCGAGTAACACAGGACCGGGACTTGCACCCCACTGCTGACCTAACATCAATGTATGCTTTCTTATGTTGACCCACTTTTATTGTGTCACTGCTGAGCGCAAATTGGCGCACGAATTACGGTGAGAATGGATTCAATCAGATGCACAAACAGCGGCGTATTCAATTCTCGTGTTGATACACGTAAATACACCGTTCAGGTTAAGTTAGCCAAGGTAGATCCTTATTGACCGCCTACTTTGCTGGATCGGTCGTCTTCTAGTCCTCGACCACAACGCGTGGCTACCTGGAATTTTTAGTTGATTTCTTGCTGTGGGCTCTGGCCTCCTAACTGATGGTCCATATTTTCGCTCTGCGCTAAGTACCAGAGTGGCGTCACGTGTATCGCGCACCAACCGCAACTGCTTCCTTCCAAGGACACATTCGACTCGCTCCTATGAAGCACGTGATCATTTTGTGTGCTCTGCATGTAAATTCCCTAGGTTACACCAAAGTCAATGACGGGTTATTGGACGATTTTCTAGGCAACAAGCGTCGTTCACCATGGTTGTTTAGTCTTTCAATTTCCACTCACTTTACTCGTGAACTCTATCATGGGATGTCCCTGCAACAGAGATGGCACCGGCGCCAGTACACTATCGGGCTTGAACAACATAGCAGCTATGCGGAGACTTGACCTACTCAGTTCAGAGCAAAGCTCTCCCTACGGAAACTGCCGCAAAGGGTCCACTCATATGCGCCGATCACAACGGAGTAGCCCTTAGTGAGAACGCGGCAAGCCTGTCCCGCACAATTCTCAATGAAATCGCCCGTGTCACCACTGTATCTACCAGACTCTCCTCTGCCTCCTGAGCTGTGTTCACGTCAATGCCGAGCACGCGAAACAACTGTGATGAGTCCAACTATTCGACAACATCAGTCCCAACCAATCTCTATCTGGAGATAGGGCTATCACATGGCAATTCATGTGCCAACAAACGTACGCCTTTTCTTATAGTCTATACTACTGTTTTCGTGGGCTATAAATATGAAGGGTTGAAAAAAACACGATTGCCTTGATCGCATCGGTAAAAGCGCTCTTACTATTGACCAGTCTCCTTTCTACGGGTCTCGATACAGTTTTGTGGCGTGTACGCGTTCCGTCTGCCTTCTCACTTACGAGTTCACGTCTGCCGTTCCAATTCCAATCGTCTAGGATACGCTGCGAGTGGGAACCAACGAGTGAAGTTCGTCCGTAAAATAATAATTAATAAATAAATCGCCAGCTGTATGCCGTAACGGCGCTTCGCCGCCACGCGACCACCACCAGTCGCGCGTGGGATGAGTATACCGGGAGGACGCCCGCCCCTACGCGGATTCGAACCGGTAACCTTATAATTGCGAACCAGACTCGCATACCACTCGGCCACCGGTCGACAGTTCGTCCGTACCGATTAGGACAGTCAAAACTCAACAAGGAAGTTTATAACAGTTCCCATATGGGGTTTCACGATAAATGCTAAGGTACTATCTCGAGAAAGACTGGTTGATCTGAATGATGCTGATATCCTTTTGTTGTTTGACGATCGGTGAGGCGGAACAATCGACTCTCGACAAACTATCTGGGGTGATCTAACCCTACGATAGGCTCTTTTTTCATTCGACACACCACCGCAGAATTAGCAGCCCCTTGCCCATCATTGTGGTAAACGATCAGTCATCTTTCGAGTTGACTTCAGATGTCAGAGAACGATCGGTGGCCTAGCGGAGGGCCGTTCACATTCATAGTGACAAGGCCTCTTCGTTTTGACGAGTTCAGGTGCCTTCGGATCTCTGTCCATCATTAACCGTACCTCAATGCTGGAAAGTGTAAACTAAATGAGCTCCTTTGACGCGTTTTCATTTTACCACAGCAGTGCGGACACAAGTGGCTCCGTAGGCAAGATTTTGCATTCTATGTTCGAAAACCGAGCGTCTGTTGAGGAAGAAGGACAATGGTGATGAAAATACCAATATTACTTTTAACGTGATCAAATGACAAAATGAAATGAAATGCACCCACCAACATGATTGGGTTATTGCACGGTTGGGCAAACTCTAAAGTGAGATACAGTCATCAGTGAAATACTTCAAAACACATTGCATTTAAACAACGAAAGACAAATATCCAATATCTAACCGAAAGAAAAGTGGGTATAGAGAGTACAACGTTGGGTATCTTCAGAAAGTCGAAAATTTTCGGGACAGAGATCGATTGCGGGCAATTACGGGACGCAGTGAAGATAATTTCTATAGCACTGACTGTTGTATTGTGGCCGTTTTAGCCAGCTATGATGCGTGATCGATGAAGCTCACACGCTGTAGCTGAACATCACCCTGGTCATCCATTTCGGTGGTTGCCGTTTGCGAACGAGCAGATGTGCATTGAGATGGTTCTAGCAAAACGCGTCGGAAATGCGCACCAACTAGGATACACACGCACGGTTTGCAGGCAGCGAAGACGGTATCCAAAAATTGATCAATGAGAGTGAACACCGCTGGGTCGTATTCGATGTAGCTCTCAGTGGACAGGACATGTAGCAAAAATTTCGGAACTTTTAACATCACCAACAACAACCCGATACACACGGAGGTAATCACATTAGCGTGTTCGCGTGTCTCGTCTACATGCGGGAGTTGGAAAAATAAGTATGCCAACTCCTCCTCAATGGGATCGATGAACTCTGTAGCTACCTTTTTGTAATCTGGTGAGTTAAAGCTAATCAGCTGGTTTGTAACTTTAGGTTGATCCAGCAGGGCTTTAGCCGAGTCAGGTAGAGGCGACCGTGGCTCAACCGGCGACTCAATTCTTCCCCCTTCTTTGCATGCCGTGCCGCACACTCCGGTACGGCATACACATGCGCAAGCTGTGTCATTGCACAAGCTGGCGACGGCCTTCCATTTGGAATGATGGAAATCTAGCATTTTCGTCACAACGACAGAGACTAGAATGCCGACGCTCAGATAGGGCAGAAACATCTGCAACGGCACATTCAACCAGCTGTACATCAAGTTCCTGTGAACAAAGCAGAAAAATGACTCATGAGACTACGAGAAAATGTGTACAGCATAAAGGGAATGTTAGCTGACTGGCTCAAACCATGGGAAATCTAATAAGTTAGGCAACACAAAATTACCAATAGCCTGTGACAGCAGTTGGGTCAGCAAGAAGATGTCGCATAATCCAATAAGATGTGTTGATTAAAATATGGCCCACTCTGTTGATCAGCTGTGATTTGGTGCCGAACGACATGGATCATGTCGCTATAATAATAATATGACTAAGAACAGATAAAGACTGAGAGGAATGAGGTGGAATGTAAAAAACAAGTTAAGAAGGAACGAAAAAGCCGTCGAAAGAATTAGTCGGTGGAAACTAGGATCTCCCAACAATCGATCTAGGAGGCTACGTCAAGCGAGCTTCTGATCGGTTTCTTTGCTGTTCGCAGATATTTCTAAGCATAAGGAAATCACGATGACGAAACGGTGCGAATTCGGTAGTTCGGTACGAAAGTATCCACACAACTACCATCTTGACACAGGACAAACGGGAAACTATGGAACCTTTTCCGTGTACGGATACAATTAAATATGTCTCATGATGCACAAAGAGACTAGGCCGCATGGTAATATGCAGTTGAATAGGCAAATGCAATCGGAGTACCACTGGCACTTACTCCTATACTGCTTCATTACCTCTTCTTGGTTCCCTCCCAACCGCGTTGCAACTTATCCTCTGTAGGAGTTACATCGAAAGTGACGGTCATGATTGCCCAACTCGGCTCACTGCACGGCTTTATCGATAATCGTATCCGGGAGTGTTCTGTAAAGCCATGGGGTCATGACACACACACATTGAGGCACTAAGCAGTGATTACAGCATAGCCATTGACTAATCGCACCGTCCCTATCTCGTTGCTAATTCATGCCGCCAATGGAACCGTTAAAATCGCAGTGACTCGTTACTCACTGTTTCGTTGCGGTCGGTAAACTGGTTTCTAGTAATTTCCAGCATCTATACATACTACAAGAGACGATGGTACGATGTGGTCCATGATAAATCGCTCACATGAAACGCATGATATGGGATCCATGCAGGGTCCCGTTAAAAATCTTTTGTTTCCTAAAGACGTCGAGTAGCATGACATCTTTCAGCCAGCAATCGTCTATAGATGTTGGGAGTAAAAAAAAGTGGTACCAACAGTACCGACGCTCCGTTATCGCGCAACCACCTTCATTCGCGCATGGGCTACGGATACTGTGAGGGCGGCCCAGTCCCCTACGCAGGCTCGAACCCGCGACCTCGGATTAGAAGGCAGGCTTGTGATTTTTAGGCCACGGGCCGGCGATGGAGGTGGCCTAAACATGTACCCGTTTGCGCGCACCGTTTAGGTTACTTGAACGATTCACCGCTTAAATGAGACACTGTGATCTCGATCGCAGGGGAGCCATTGGGGAAGCGAGTGGCGAATAGTGTCGCTGAAGCCGGTGAGTTCGCGATAGTCCCAAACTGCTCAGCTGGATAGCCGCAGCAGCAGGTCGGTGTAACCACATGATGCATAAATGAGAAAAACTGAATGCATCGAGCGACTTTCAAGGTGTAGAACAACACGTGAGATATTCATGGGATATCAAAAGGCTTTTAATATTCAACAATTGACAACACACAGACAACTGAACGAAGCGACAACATTTTCGCCCACTCGCTTCACTTTCCAGTTGCCTAGACGTACTCTGATGGTGAACATTCAACCACTAGCTTCCATTCAAATCGGAGGAATGTGCGCACAGTTCAGTGATTACGCTACGATCCCCAACGTGCGACATTGACCGTATTTTCTCATTGCGCTTATCCGGAGATCACGCGGCTTCAAATGCCGGTGAGCATTGCCCTTAGCCCCGGGGATGAAGCTGTCCTGGTCGATTGGATCCCAATGAACAGCCGGATGTGCGCTATCAGATTGGCCGGCTCATTCAACGCATCGAAATCGCGTGAAGACAAACCGTGTGTGTTTATCACTGCGGCCTACGTGCTGACAAATTGTAAAGCTGACCCGGTGAAAGAGGACTTCTATCACGAAACAAACGCGTTCCTACGTTACAAAAATAGTACTGACATGTGGTGCTGGCTGCCAACTGTGATTTTCCCCTGTACATAATTTACCACCCTCAAGACCCTGAGGTTTATTGATTGGTTCCTGTTGGAATTAAACATTCTGATCAATACGCAGCCCAATCCGGTAAATTTAGTACTTTCTCATCATCATGTAGTGTTTGAGTCTGATGAGAATTAACGAAAAGAATTCTTTACTCAAATTCGGCCTCTCTTGATTCATACCTTACTTTTTTGTATTTCGGCACATTAGCTAAGGTGTGTATCCCTTCCTCAGCTAACGCGTATTGATGATGATGATCTGATGCGCTATCCGGCAGTGACGTCCACTGCAATGAAACAAGTAATCTAGGTTTGAAGTTGACGAAGTTCCTGAAGTCGCTGTTGGGGCCCGACAGAGCGCAAGCAGTTGCCGGTTTAGCTTGGTGAATATTTGCAAATGACTAGCTACCCGTTTCACTTTGGATCATAGCCGTTTACGAACAGCTTTAGATTGGTCAACATCATCATCAATATACACGTCAGCTAGAGGTGGGAAGCACCTCAGCTACTGTGCCGCAATACATCAAGGAGAAGGAAAATAAATACAACAGTTGCATGCCAGCTGAGCCATCAGCAACGGATAGGCAACGTTCCGGTAAGCTGTCAGCCGGCTATTAGGCAAAAAGTAAAATTCTTATGTTTGACGCTACGAAATGAGATCGTGGGTGGAGGGGCAAACTAAAACGGATGGCGAGGGACAAAGAAACTCAGAGCAAGAACGCCAATGAGGTCGACTCCTTGCTATGTCAACAAGTGTATCCAGCCAAACGTGTTCACCGTCTTTTGGACCCCAACCAGGGAGCCGTGACGCTCCAACCGAGGCCAGCTCCGAAGTGAGGGCCTTCGTTCCTCTGGACCAAGTCATCGCTTGGCCACCTCTCCTCTTCTTCTATCCACATCCCGGATAGCAAACAACGCACGTCGTGGGAGCCGGTGGGCTGGCATGCGGAACACGTGGCCCAGCCATCGGAGCCTGGTGCGTGAAATGACGCTGCTGAGCGGTTCATTTTCTTTTCCTGTTCCGTAAACAAGGCGTTGAACACACTCGTTATTCACGTGGTGTTCCCACTAGATGTGAGCCAAACTGCGAAGGCACCGATGGGCGAACATAACTAGCCTCTTTACGTTCGCTGATCTTAGGGGGCAGGTTTCGCAACCGTACAGTAGGGTCGGACGTACCGCTGCATTGTACACTCTACCCTTCAGGGCGAGAGTAAAGTCGCGCCGCCGCCATAGGTGGCGAAGGTTAGCAAAAGCACTTCGAGCTTTTGCAATATGGTGCGTCATCTCGTCTTGGATCCCACGGGTGCTGATACAACTTCCCAGGTAGTTGAATTTCCGAACAACTTCTAGCTGATCCACACCAAGCGTCAACGAAGGAGGCGATCGCTGTCAATCTTGGAGGAACGCTTTGCACTTCGGGGGTGCGAAGCAGAGCACGAAACCGCGGAAAACCAGTTCTAATCTGTCGAGTGCCGCTTGGCACGTCTGGGTGCTCACAGATGAGGGCAATATCGTCTGCATACTCCAAGTCAAGAGGTCGTTCTCCTGGGAGCAGACCCACACCTAAGTCGTGTCCTGTAAACGCAATTTCCATGACTTCATCAATAGCGAAGTTGAAGAGGAAAGGTGACAGCGGGCATCCTTGTCTCACCCCGCTGGTGATACTGAAGGGTGGCGAGAGTTTGCCATAAACCCTCACCCTGCCCGAACTATATGCGTACACCGCTTTGATAATGTTTACATATTTATCAGGCACACCTTTCCCAAAGGGTACATCGATCAACTGAGTCGAAGGCACCTTTTATATCAACAAACACGAAGACGGTTGGTCGCCAATAAACATAGCGGTGCTCCAACACTTGACGCAATGTGAAGATGTGGTCGATGCAGCTCCGACCTCGACGAAATCCGGCTTGCTCTTCACGAATCTGGCTTTCACGAGTGCCAGTCAATCTGTGGAGAATGACAGATGCAAGCAACATACAGGCAATCGAAATCAGACTGATAACACTATGATTGCCGCATATCGAACGGCAACCCCTTTGAAAATTGGGACAATGATGGAGCGGTTCCAGTCTGTCGGGACTGTCTCCTGCTCCCAAAGTTTTACTAGCCACTCGTGTAGATCATCTACTAGAGCAGGTCCCCCGAATTTGAAGAGGGTTGGGGGGATTCTATCTATCCCTGCGGCCTTATGCAATTTCAACAGCCTGATCTCACGTTCGACTTCTGCGCGTGAGGGCGGATCCAAGGAGAAGGGCGCTCAATGCCCGAAGAAGAAAGCGATAACTCAGGTTGGTTAAATTGCCTAGCAAAGTGTTCAGCCCAATGCTCCAAGCGTTTTGACAGGCTGTGGATCGACTGCCCACTCTCCTCGCGTATGGCCTCGCTAACACCAGGTCTCCTGCTGCCTGTTTCCCGCATCAGACGGAATAACTTGCGATGACTACCAACGGCAGCGGCTGTTTCCATCTCAGAGGCACGATGAGACCACGAGGTTTGGCGGTCCTTCTTTAGGCTAGCACGTAGTTTTGCCCTGAGATTTTTGCGAGCCTCATTGTATTCGCTTCCAGCCGGAATACGTCGGCGAGCATCCATAAGTTCCAGAAATTGTGTAGAGATCCAATGTCAAGCTTGGCAATTTGCTTTGAGAGGAATTTGCGACCAGTGATCTTCAACGGTGTTTAGTGAGCGCTTACTCAGCCTAGATGTCAGCGCACTTTGGTACACATTCAGAACATCTGGCTTCGCCAACTGGCTGGTGTCAATCCGTTCACATTGACGTTGCGGACGTCCACCGAAACGCACCAGGAGGTCGGCACAGACAAGTACGTGGTCAGAGTCCACGTTCGTGCTCCAAATCGACCGACAGTTTTGGACACATCGAGCGACAGTTCTGGACACAGTCCATCCATCGGTAACTGATAGCAATGTTACGGATCTGCGTCCAAGGCTGGTAGGCGCCAAGTCACCTTCCGACGGGTACTGTGTAGGAAATTAGTGCTCGCAAGATGTAAGTGAGCATCCTCACACGAATGTGGTAACCGCTCAACGTCATTATTACGTGAGCCTACACCATGCTGGCCGCCCAGATGCAGTTCATCAGTGGATAATTTTCCAATTTGAGCGTTCAGATTCCCAGCCAGCACCACAGTGTCCGTGCTTCTTCTGTGGCGTAGGAGCTCGATCAGTTGACGATAGAAGTCGTCTTTCACCGAGTCATCACTACAGTTTTTGAGTGAGTAGACTGCGATAACGAATAGACACCTGTTGGTCCCACGCGATTTCGAAGCTTGGAATGAGCCAGCCAATCGGACCGCACACATCCGGATACTGATTGGGATCCAATCAATCAGAGTAGCTTCAGCCCGGGGACTCAGGGCAATACCAACACCGAGTTGGCCGGTACTCGAAACTGCATCGTCACCGGATAGGCGCAATGAGAAAGTGCTGCTAGTGTCACCTGAAGGGGATCGCAGAGTGAGCACAGAGCTCGAGTCTTGCAGGCGGGTCTCCGATGAGCAGCAGATGTCGATGGAGAGGGTCTCAAATGTCCGGGCAAATGTTGCCTGTTGACCGATCTGTTGTAATGTGCGCACACTGAGGCATGCCAATCTGAAGGAGGATCGAGGGCTCCAAATGGGAGCCGATGAACTGGAATGGACCGCTTGGTTGGACATGGGTTTGTCGACAGGAGAGGTGTGACGCACCGCGTTAGCATGAGTTGAAATTAGAAGATAAATGCCTAGCATAGCATACTGGGGGGAGGCCAAGAATCGGCGGGGGGAAAACGGGGATATAAGTGAAGTTGGAACGGGAGGGTAAGAGTGAAAAGCGTAAGAGGGGGAATAAGAAGACGGGAAGGCCTGAGCAGTAGCATCCATACCCCTATCCACCCTGCTCGATGCAGCAGATAAGGCGCCGTTTATTATCCTCGGCGACGGCCAGAGCATCAAGAAATTGTTGTAGGAAAGGTTCATTGTATTGCGTGGGCAGAATATTGTCAGGTTGCCCAGGCCTAGACAGGAGAACGATTAGGGTTCTCAACCAAAGCCTCTGGTTCAAAAACCTTACCGCAAGGCAGTGAGTTTGGCGTTGGGCTACAAGGAGTCCGTTTTAAGGAATAAGGTGCCACCGTCATTTCACCCCCAACCTAGAGGACCAGGACACTGAGTTTGTCTGGCCTCTAACCATTGACCAATCTGGTATGAGTGGCTTTGAAAGTTCAAAAAGTACCACCCAGCGTAGCTCAATGGATCGCTGAGGCACACAAACTATCGCACCGCGGTAAGGTCCTCAGTCCTTTCGATAAGCGTGTGCAACGTACGACTGTAATTTTCTTAATGATCACAACGGACCTGTGTGCCCGAAATAAAACGCAGTATAGCATCGCTTCGGACTGTGTAGCATAGCGTTGAGAGCAGATAATACAAAGTTATTTTTGCTGATACCCACCTGTACAGTGAACTCTTGCCAACGGGGGTCAAGACGACCCGCACCACATTCATCTTTTTGTATTCCACAACAGTGTATTCAATGAACTTGCAGCTGCAGTAAGCGAGTCCGAACACAACGAGCGCAGCGATCGACTTGGAAGCTTGTAGTTGGGAACACAAAAGTTTTGATTGAAAGCCCAATTTGAGATACAACAGTCGATTGGCCAGAAGGGCAACCACTAGCCACACCTGAAAACGAAAAACACATAGGAAAACATACTAATGAGGTCCTACAGGCATGAAATGGACACAAGCTACCTACAGTTCAAAATCCCATAGCTGTAGGAGAAAAAGAGCAGATTGTTGGTCGAACCGGTTCTGAAGTTGGTCCACTTGTATGTATAGGTCTATCCGAATGACAGGAATTTAATTTTTCGGTAGTTACGTGGTAGTCTCGAACGTTCTGTACCAACTAACAGAACACCGATAGTTTCAGGTGCCAGCTGTAATCGCTAGCCCGTTCCGTTGTTTTATAGGTTATCAGTCTCCAAACAACAGTTTCACCTGATTATTTGATTCCACAAAAAACAATAATTTTTTCAATTCATAAATAACCCCCATTTGGGTCAGAAATAAGCAAATTCGCGAAGAATATTCTTTTCGGTAATTCTCATCGGGCGTGTACAATTATGAAGCAAAATTTTTAGAGAGAATAAAGCGGTACAGGCAAGTTGTGAGGTCGCAAAACTAATAGCGAAACACTGCAAAGCGTTTATTAAAGGTGAGTTTATCAAAGAATGTACGATAAACGTTGTGGAAAAATATGTTTTGAAAAAAGCCAGTTTGCCAATGCTTGTCTAGCACGCAACACTGGTTCGCAGAACTGAAGACATTTCCTCTGATATTAAGAGACAGTTAGAAGCAAGAGCAGCAAAATCTAACTGTTTTCGATAGCCTGTGATGAAAGCACGGATACATTTGACACAGCCCAGTTTTCCTTTTTTGAAAGGAGTTAACGATGACGTGAGTGAGGAATTACCTAACCTGCAGGTCTTAAGGACCAAAAGAGGAATAGTTCTGTTGCTTCTTAAAGTGTCATGGGAAAGGTTCTCTGGAATTATTACTGACGGTGCCGCTGCCAGCGGAATAGTATCACAAAGTCAGCGAAGATGGGAGCAAAGCCTTTAAACTTCACTGCGTCATCTACCAACAAACATCTTAGGTGTGACTATGATTTGCATCCAGCGGTAAAAGCTATCAACCATCTTTGCTCTAAAGCACTGTTTCATCGTCACTTTCACCCGTTTCTACTCGACATCCAAAGTGCCAAAATGCAGTGGTAACTTAACTGTATTCACACATCAAAGCATTTAGGGATAAACTGCAACTCTTCTAGATAAGACAGTCACAAACGCAACCTAATACCACACATTTTCTATCACTATAGGAAAGCATGGCAAGTCCTCCGGCGAGTCACATCAATTCATAAATGCTGAAGTGTCTCGCAAATATTTTATCCTTGGTTGATGGATTTCAAAGGCGAATTCAGGAATTTGCAGCTTTTGAAAAGGGGGAATCGGGCTTTTTTCGCCTTTTTCTGTGGACCCTGACAATGCTTCAGGCCACCCGCAGCTGGAGCTCTTTGAGTTGCAAAATGGCGCTGAATGTCGCAGTCAGCACGAACAGCTCTCCCTCTCTCATCAATTTTACCGCCAACTGGATAAAGATAAATTCCAAAAAAATTGAACACTTGCTTAAAATGCTCAGCTTGTTTGGCTCGCCATACTTGTTGGGGCAGCTTTGAATTTTAAGAATTGTGTGAGGACGAGACTAAGTGATTCTCACCTACGCGTACCAAAAGCAGTTCCTCTGAGCTTGAACTGACCAGTTTAGTGAAGTTAAGTTCTCAGCTTCACCCTTTGCATTAAAATCTTGCAACAAAAAATTTATAACATGTAATTTTTGAATTTTATCTAAATGTCAGGCTGAATATGGCGACCTCTCCCAAAGTGGTATACTATAGGCGAAAACAACATCCCAGGTGAAGCAGCAAACTGCATTGTCGCAACGGGCCTGACTAAAGAGCCCGTCAACGAGGCTGAGAATGGATCAAATGACTGTCTTTCACAGCTATGTCTCGCTAGCTGATGACTTTCTCGAATCCGTGTTCCGAAACAGATGGAATAGCAATGCGTTGTTCCCAATAGCACTGGCTTTCTCCATCTCAAAAGACCTTAGCACCCAACAACGTTCCCGATAGATTCAAAAATTCCTTATCAATAGTCGTTACAGGGCATTACTGACACACTAAAACTCATGCGTCGATCGAAATGATCGATGCTTTAGAGTACCATTAAAGGTTAAAACGTCTCAAATTGGGTACACAGGCGTCAAACATACTCCTCATGGCACACTTCAGACGATCCTTAGCAACGTTCAGCTCACCAACCTCACCCGTCACTGAAAATTAGTGGATCAGTTCGCCAGGATATTGCTGAACTGCAGACTACAAGTTGAAGTTACAAGTAAAATGGCTAGAAGTCAGCCGCTTCTTTGAAGTGACAAGAGTGAGCGCCAGACGCGCGCGCACTACAGCATAGTCAGGCACGCGCTCCATATTGACCAACAGTCTTGGGCTGATGTGCGCCATCTGCAGCTGATGGCAATATGATCGTCTTAGGTCCAGGTCATCCAGGAATTCGGTGGGGATCAGTTGACACGGTGTGAACGTTTATACTGGAAAACAGTGCTGCTAATATAAGGATTGCGTTCGGCGCATCGTTGCAGGGATGGACCACAACTGTCTGTTCGACGTGCATGGACCCTGAAGCGACGTCGCAGAGGTTGTTCAAAGTCTGAGAGATTACTTACCTAGGCATTCAGGTCACCACCAACAACCACGATGCAAGTAGCTTTCGCCATACGGAGAAGGAATGAAAAATGATGATGGAAGTCGTCTTTCACACTCCGAACTGCAATCAGAAGCGGCATAAACGGAAGCGATGACAAATCATCTTGTCATCAGACGATGCTTATTAACCCCAAGAGAGCGTCGATGTCGAACAGCATATATGTGGCTGTTCACCGGCATCTAGTCGAGTGGATTGTTTCCAGCATGTGCGCTCAGGACGATACCAACGGCGTAAATGCCTTGAGCCATTGACTCAGTGTCGCCAGAGACGCGAAGACTGCAGTCGTGTCTGCAGATTCAGAACTAGGAAGTCGAAGGTGGGTCACAACGCCGTTATTCAACATGCGTGTTTCGGATACACAGCACACATCAATATCAACAGAGTGAAGGGTGAGACCCAGATTCCGGAAATTAAAATAAACAACGTGAAATTAGACTATTGATTTGATGGATGGATTACACGTATCAATGGCAGCAGCGGCGGTCTCTTGCTCAATAGACAGGTTAAAATACAGCTGAGATCGGAGAGAAAATAGAGAACAAGTGGGAGCATTGTCGACGTGGTCGAGAGGGCATATGATACTCTCCGGCTGCTCATTCCGAGAGAATTTGTCCGAGGTGCCCTACTGCAAGCCTTCGGCACAACAGTTTGATACACAAGGCAGTGACGTACATGGAGGTTCCTCCAAGGAAACCCACCTGTAGCCATTGGCTCAACAGTATGACCCACAAGGCAGTGGGGAGCAAGTCCATCTCACGAATATGATTGCAGAGGACACGCTTTGTTTGGAACAATGCAGGTGTTATACGACGGTTGTATGTTACGCACCTGTGACCACATCTAGCTGCAAATGCAAGTTGGTGGGTTTGCACCAACTTGACTATGAACTGCCTGGCTTGGACCAGACGGTAACAAACAGTTGAAGACCGGATGGTGCCCATCGCGATGACACTGGACCTTAATGTGATGCGATGGTTTATGTGCCTCAGTGATCCATTGAGCTATGCTGGGTGGTACTTTTTGAACCTTCAGAGCCACTCATACCAGATTGGTCAATGTTTAGAGGCCAGACAAACTCAGTGTCCTGGTCCTCTAGGTTGGGGGTTGGAGTGAAGGTGGCTCCTTATTCCTTAAAACGGACTGCTTGTGGCCCAACGCCAAACTCGCTGCCTTGCGGTAAGGTTTTTGAACCAAAGGCTTTGGTTGAGAACCCTAATCGTTCTCCTGTCTAGGCCTGGGCAACCTGACAATATTCTGCCCACGCAATACAATGAACCTTTCCTACAACAATTTCTTGATGATCTGGCCGTCGCCGAGGATAATAAACGGCGCCCTATCTGCTGCATCGAGCAGGGTGGATAGGGGTATGGATGCTACTGCTCAGGCCTTCCCGTCTTCTTATACCCCTTCTTGCGCTTCTTTATCATTATCGTCCCGCTCCAACTTTACTTATATCCCCCCATTTTTAATCCCCCAATTCTTGTTCCTTCAATAGTCGCTTGTCTTCTAATTTCAAATCACGCACAATCGAAGGGCCTCGCTACAATCCAGTTGACAAGTCCATGTTCAACCAAGCGGACAACGTCAGTTCATCCGTTTCCCTTTGGAGTCCTCGTGTCTCGCTAAGACTGGCATGCCTCAACGTGCGCACTTTGCTGCAGATTGGCCAACAGGCAGCACTTGTCCGCACACTAAAAACCCTATCGATCGATAGTTGCGGTTTATCAGAAACCCGCATCCAAGATTCAAGCTCCGTGCTTCCCCTGCGATCCCCCACATGTGACACTGGCGGCACATTCTCATTTCGCCTGTATGGCGATGATGCAGCTTCAAATGCCGGTCAAGCTGGCGTCGGCATTGTTTTGAGTCCCCGGACTGAAGCTGCCCTGATCCATTGGATCCCAGTCAACAATCGGATGTGCGCCGTTAGATTAGCTGGTTCCTTCCGTGCTACGAAGCCGCGCGGGAACAAACGGTTCTTGCTACAAACTGTAACAATGATTCGGTAAAAATGATTTCTCTCAGCAACTTCACGATCTCTTTCGTTACAGAAAAAGCACGGATCCTGTGTTGTTGGTTGGCGATCTAAACGCCCAAGTCGGAATATTGTCATCTGATGAGCTTCATCGAAGCGGCCAACATGGTGTAGGCTCCTGTAATGATAGGGGTGAGCGATTGCTACAGCTGTGTGAAGATGCTCGTCTCGTTCTCGCGAGCACAAACTTTTGACGCAGCACCCACAGAAGCGTGACTTGATGCCCACCAGCCTCGGGCCAGCCATGGATGCAAATCGATTACATCGCTATCAGTTACCGTTGGAGAGGCTGTGTCCAAAAC